TGACTTGACAGTTGTGCAGAAAACCATCATTGACACCCTCCACAAGGAGGGAAAGCCTCAAAAGGTAATTGCAAAGGAAGTTGGATGTTCCCAAAGTGCTGTATCAAAGCACATTAATAGAAAGTTGTGTGGAAGAAAAAGGTGCACAAGCAGCAGGGATGACCGCAGCCTGGAGAGGATTGTCTAGAAAAGGCCATTCAAAAGTGTTGGGGACTTTCACAAGGAGTGGACTGAGGCTGGAGTCAGTGCATCAAGAGCCACCACACACAGACGGATCCTGGACATGGGCTTCAGATGTCGAATTCCTCTTGTCAAGCCGCTCCTGAACAACAAACAACATCAGAAGCGTCATATCTGGGCTAAAGAAAAACAGTCCTGGTCTGTTGCTCAGTGGTCCAAAGTCCTCTTTTCTGATGAGAGCAACTTTTGCATCTCATTTGGAAACCAAGGACCCAGAGTCTGGAGGAAGAATGGGGAGGCACACACTGCAAGATGCTTGAAGTCCAGTGTGAAGTTTCCACAGTCTGTGTTGATTTGGGGAGCCTTGTCATCTGCTGGTGTTGGTCCTCTGTGCTTAATTAAGTCCAGGGTTAACGCAGCTGTCTACCAGGAGATTTTGGAGCACTTCATGCTTCCTTCCGCAGACGAACTTTATGGGGATGTTGACTTCATTTTCCAGCAGTACTTGGCACCTGCCCACACTGCCAAAAGCACCAAGCCTGGTTCAATGACTGTGGGATTACTGTGCTTGATTGGCCAGCAAACTCGCCTGACCTGTACCCTATTGAGAATCTATGGGGCATTGCCAAGAGAAAAATGAGAGACATGAGACGAACAATGCAGAAGAGCTGAAGGCCGCTATTGAAGCATCCTGGTCTTCCATAACAGCTCAGCAGTGCCACAGGCTGATAGCTTCCATGCCACACCGCATTGAGGCAGTAATTGCTGCAAAAGGGGCCCAAACCAAGTACTGAGTCCATATGCATGCTTATACTTTTTTAAGGTCCGATATTGTTCTATGTACACTCCTTGTTTTATTGATTGCATGTAATATTCTAATTTATTAAGATTGTGAATTTGGGGTTATCATGAGCTGTAAGCCATAATCATCACACTTATGAGAAATCACGGCTTGAACTATCTTGCTTTGCATATAATGCGTCTATCTCATATATTAGTTAGCCCTTTTATGTTGCATTACTGAAATAAATGAACTTTTACACGATATTCTAATTTTTCAAGTATCACCTGTACACAATATTAAACAGGAATAGAATATTTAAAAAATTTAAAAAAAAACAAATGTTAAACAGGAATAGAATATTTAAAATTTTTAAAAAAAAACAAATGTTTTTTCCCTTCAGTTTTACATTTATAATTTCTACATACCAAGTGCAAATAAAGAAGCTTGGATCTAACGTTATCCTAGTGTCGGGAAGTGTGATGGACCTGTGCAGGTTGAGCACAGTCATCCAATCACAGCAGCAACTAGTGGCCACCAGTTAGAGGATCCATTCCAGCCCTCCCAGGGCAAGTTAGTCTGTGTGTGTGTATATTATTTATTTATTTATAAAATATTTTACCAGGAAAGATACATTGAAATTTCTCTCGTTTTCAAGTATGTCCTGGGTCCACAAAACATTGCATTGTTACATTAGGGTACAATAAAATACAAAAACAATATTAATACACAATATATACAAAATTTACCATAGAACAGGTAGGAAATATATAATCACCCATGATATGTGCATTCTCTAGGCTTGGGGAAGATTTTAAAGTGTGCGGGAGGTCGTTCCATAATTGCAGCGCTCTGTAGGAGAAGGAGGATCGGGTCGCTTTCTTTTTGTATTGAGATAGACTAAATAAAGTGCTGGTACTGGATCGGAGGTTATAGGAGGTGGGAAAAGCCGAGTAGAGCATTTTGCTCAGGTAGGGTGGGAGTTTCCCAGAGAAGCTCTTAAACACAAGGCTGGGAAGATGAAGGGTGTGTCTGGATTCCAGCGACAGCCAGTTTAGTTATTTTAGCATGTCACAATGGTGGGTCCTGTAATTACATTGTAGCACAAATCGGCAGAACGAGTTATACAATGTATTGAGTTTATTAATGTGGGCTTGCGGTGCAGATGCATATACTACATCCCCATAATCATTGATTGGCATCAGCATTTGCTGTACAAACTTTTCCTTTACTGTAGGGCTTAGGCAGGATTTGTTTCTGTACAGGGCACCTAGTTTTGGATAAAGTTTAGATGCAAGTTTTTCTATGGATAGGTGGGAATTGTGGATTTTGTGTATGGATAGGTGGGAATTGTGTAATTTAGGTACTGTTCCAAAGATCATTGTGACAGTTTTGTCAGTGTTTAGGAAGAGTTTGTTTTTTGTGATCCACTTTTCTACCTCTGTAAACTGGTCTTGGAGCACAGCTTCAAGCTGCAGTAGCTCGGATTTGCTCACATAGATCACTGTGTCGTCTGCGTACATGTGTACATTTGAGGATTTGCAGACTTTAGGCAGATCATTTATAAATAATGTAAATAGTAGGGGGCCGAGAATGGAACCTTGGGGTACACCACACGTGACTGGGAGAGGGAGGGAGTCGCTGTTAGCTATGGACACATATTGCGAGCGATCCGATACATACAATCGAAACCAGGTTAGCGAACAATCACCAGTACCTGAGTTTTTGAGTTTGTCCAATAGAATGTCGTGGTCTAGCGTGTCAAAGGCCTAGGCAAAATCAAGGAAAATAGCTATAGTTAGGTTTCCTTGTCCCATGCCAGTTTGGATGTCATTGCAAACTCTTAAGAGGGAAGTTGTAGTGGAGTATCTCTGGCGAAAGCCCGATTGATCAGGGGTCAGATAGTTTAATTGTTGGTAATACTCACATAGTTGCGTATGGATACATTTTTCTAAGATTTTTGACAATACCGGGAGCAATGATATTGGACGATAGTTAGAAACCAAAGTAGTGTCACCACTTTGATGGATAGGCACTACTCTTGCAGTCGTCCAAAGTTTGGGTATGTATCCAGACACCAAGGATTCGTTAATTAGGGTTGCGACGGGTTAAGCAATTCCGGCGCACTGAGCTTCAACAGCATTGCTGAGATTTGATCAGGTCCAGGCTGGTTTTTCATTGTTAGATTATTTAGGTGTTTTTGACCGACACTAATAGGTACAGGTCTAAAATTAAACTTGTCTATATTGGGTCTTTGCAAATTTAGTTGGGCCTGATCCACATTTGTAGTTTCAGGATGCATGTAATTTATTAGCTTGGCGATCAGGGCAGTGGAGCATCCGACAAAATAATTGTGAAAGGCATTTGCTACATCTAAGGGAAGTTGCAGGGTCTGGTTATCCACTTTGACAGTGGAGGGTTGGAATGGATTGGGGGAGTTTGTAATTTATTTATGACTTTCCAAAAGTTTCTAGGGTTTGATAGGTCATTGTTCAGATTTTCACAGAAATATTGGGCCTTGGCCAATTTTGTTTGTTTTGTGCATATATTTCACCATTGTCTATATGCACAGTGATCATTCATAGAGCCAGTACGCTTGAACTTGGACCACAAAGAATCCCGATACTGGTACATTTGGATGAGGTCAGCTGTGATCCAGTTCATATGTGCTCCTTTTACTCTCACCTTACGCAGCGGGGCATGCAAACTCCAAATTTGTAGGAGTTCAGACTGAAAGAATTCAACAGCACAGTCTAGATCTGGGATAATGTTTAATCTGTGCCAAGGGAGGTTCTTGATGTCATTAAGAAAGGATTCAAGATTTAATTTTTTGAAGGACCTGGTGATTTTAATCTTGGGAGATGATTTAATATCCTTTATTTTGTAGTAAACCATAACAAGTGTAATTCCCTGGATATATAGTAATGCCTTCATCTGGCTTAACATTTTTAGTAATGATTGGGTATTCTTTTTTCCATATGTGATTGTGTGTTTGTGTATAGGTGTGTGATTGTGTGTGTGTGTGTGTGTCTGATTATATGTGTGTGTATATCTATGGTTATGTGTATATGTGTATACATGTGTATGTGTGTAGTAAATAGCTCAATAATCTGGCATTCTTAAATATGGCAATCCCATGTAAGGAGAACAAATAAGGAAGTCATATACTAAAAAAATGAAAGCGCAAAATTAAGAAAAGGACTTTTGAAGTTTTGTTATATAAATGAATTATATTATATATTTTATGTTCAGCCAAAAACAATTCCTCTTCACTAAGTATGGCCTGGGGAAGCCAAAAGATTGGACACCCCTGCTCCAAATAGTGTTTTGTATTTTTTATGGGCAGGGAGTGTCCCTTTAAGTAAACAACATACAAATAAATGTTATGTTGCTCACCACTGAGATCGTGGATCTGAAATGATTTAATAGCCAGGAATTGTAAAACTGTAATTATAGGAGCTGATGTGGAATCTAAATACTAGTCTCAAGGCAGTTTTGAACGATCTTCTGCACATGCTCCTGCAAGTAACTGTATAATTTTTCTTCAACTTCATAACCTCATAAATCAAGGCTTATGAAGCTTCACCATATCAGAAGATGAAGAATTGCTTCTAATTGTCAAATATCGTTCATCACAAACTACACTCAAGCCAGCATATCATATAAAAGCAGGACATATTTCACATCTTAACTTTCTCAGCAGCCATTAATAACCTGCAATCCTTTGTGAACGGAACTCCTAATTACGCGTTCACAAACCTATATTTTGACAACAGTTGTAGCAATATCAGCCACAGTATACCCTCATATTGCATTGTTCTTCTTATGTTACCTATTTTACAACAATATAGCTAAACTGTACATTAATGCACAAATAAACATAAATTAAAGGCTTTAAATTAGATAGTTGTTCCATTCTGCAGGCAGAAGAAGCAGGTAAATATATATCTATATACAGTATCTCACAAAAGTGAGTACACCTCTCACATTTTTGTAAATATTTTATTATATATTTTCATGTGACAACACTGAAGAAATGACACTCTGCTGCAATGTAAAGTAGTAAGTGTACAGCCTGTATAACTGTGTAAATTTGCTGTCCCCTCAAAATAACTCAACACACAGCCATTAATGTCTATACCGTTGGCAACAAAAGGCTGTACACTTACTACTTTACATTGTAGCAGAGTGTCATTTCTTCAGTTTTGTCACAATAAAAGATATAATAAAATATTTACAAAAATTATACTGTGTGTGTATATATATATATATATATATATAAATTTATAAATGTTTATTTATAAATTTATAAAAAGTTTATAAATGTTTATTACATATTGTCAAGGTTTTCTGCTTTATCTTAGTTTTTTTTTTTTTTTTTAATTCTTTATTTTTGCAACGGTATGGAGTAGACAATGCATAAGGTTTGGCTCGTGCAAGAGCGTTTCAAAAGTACATACATATGTCAGGTGCACATGAGGATTTTTAACATCTCTACTTTCATCCGTTGTGGTTGTTGGTATTATTGTTTCAACAAGAACAGTGAGTATAGAAGAACAACATAACTGAACTGTGGGCCGGGATACCGGTCATCTCGGTCCAAACGGTCGTGGGCAGGGTGGGGGGAGAGAAGTTGAGGTAGATTGGGGGGGGGGAGAGTAAGGTATGGGAGGGGAGGTTACTGCAGTCCATCGTTAGCGTTTGGAACTCCTTTCTGCTACATGGTCTTAATTGGTCTTACTGGTCATTATAGGTCTCCCACGGTTCCCACGTCTTAGTAAAAGCTTTGGTTGTGCCCCTAATTTGGGCCGTGAGTTTGTCCATTAAGTGGCATTCTTTGATTTTGTTAATCACCATTGCTACTGAGGGTGTGTCCTGCTGTAGCCAGGTCTGGGCTAACGCTCTCCTGGCCGCTAAGGTTATTTTGTTAAACAGATGCTGGTTTGGGTTAGACCAATTCTCCTGAGGTCTGGCCAGTAGGACCGTCCAAGGGTTCAGTGTTATTGGCCTATCAAATATTTGGGTCATGAGGGTTCGAATGGCCGTCCAGTAGGTTTTAATCTTAGGGCAGTGCCACCACATATGGGTGTATGTCCCTCTCTCCCCACAATTGCGCCAGCAGAGGTCTGTGGGTGTTTTGTTCATGTGATATAACTGAACAGGGGTGGTATACCACCTGAACATCGTTTTGTAGGCCTGCTCTTGCATCGTGACGCAAATAGAGGTTTTAGCAGTGGCCTGCCATATGTCCTGCCAGTCTATCCCCTCTAATGTTTCCCCAAGGTCGGTTTCCCACTTGTCTGTGTAGTGGAGGGTGCCCCAGTCCTGTGTAGTGGAGCAGAGATGGGAGTATAAGAGGGAGATCAATCCCTTTTGGTAGCGTTCGGCCAGGCATATGTTTTCAAAGAATGTTGGTTTAGCTAGTGCCGCTCTTTTAACAGATTCCTGGGTGGCATAGTGTCTTAGCTGGAGGTATCTAAAGAAATCTGCGGGGGTTAGGGTTGTTCTGGTTTGTAATTCAGCGAAGGTGAATATGTCGTGGCCTATGTAGAGTTGATGAATTCTTTGTAGGTCTGCATTTTCTAGGCCTTTGAAATCTCTGGGTCTCATGCCTGGAATAAATGCCCTATTTCTGTATATGGGGGTGAGGGGGGAGGACAATGTTGTTAGTTCGTATTTTGTGGCGTATTTGTCCCAGATGTGAATCGAATTTGTAATAGCTGGGCAGGTAGTCCTCAAAAGTGCCCTGTGCTCTTTCGGGGTCCATATGTAAAACTGAGGGAGGTCCGATTTCATAATCAGGGATTCCAGGTCCACCCATCTCCTGGTGTCCGGAGGGGTGTGCCACATCGCTATTTGTGTCAAGTGGGCTGCAATGTAGTAGAAATGCATGTGTGGTAGGCCTAGTCCCCCTCTGGGCTTGGGGCGATATAGAATATTACGGGCCACTCTGTGTCTTTTGTTGTGCCAGATAAAGCGGTCAATGGCCTGCTGTAGAGGCTTTAAGTCTTGTTTCGTTATGGGGATGGGTAGGGCCTGGAATAGGAAGAGAATACGCGGTAGGATGTTCATCTTTATTGAATGTATCCTGCCAATCCAGGATATGGGTTTATCCGCCCAGGTCTCCATGTCCGTTATGAGTGTAGTGATTAGCGGGGAGTAGTTAAGTTGGTGCAGTTTCGTGAGGTCTGCCGGCAGTTTTATGCCGAGGTAGGAGAGGTAGGTCGGTGCCATGCGTATGTGATAGTCTGCCGTGATTTGGGTGGCCTCATTCTGCGTGAGTAGTATTGGGAGTGCGCTGGATTTCTCCATGTTGACTTTGTAGCCTGATATTGAACTGTAGTTTTGCAAGAGGGGCATCAGCGCACGCATGGAGCGGATGGGGTTAGTTAATGTGATGAGTACGTCATCCGCGTATGCGGAGACCAGGAACTCTTGGCCTGTTATCTTTGCTCCCGCAATTTCGGGGTGTTCTCTGATCGCCTGTAAAAGGGGTTCGAGTGTTAGTGCAAAAAGTAACGGGGATAGGGGGCAGCCCTGTCTAGTTCCGTTATGGATGTTAAATCGTGGGCTGTTTGCTCCGGTCATCTGTATTTGGGCTGTCACGTCTGTGTATAGCGCCCGTACTGCCGTGATGAAGGTGGGGGGTATGTTTAGATGGTTTAGTAGTGTGAACATGTATGGCCAGTTCACCCTGTCGAACGCTTTTTCAGCGTCTAGGGATAGGGCAATCGCTGGTGTGTTGGTTGTAGTAAGTGTCCATATCACGTCTATGTTCCGTCTGGTATTTTCAAATAACTGCCTGCCGGGTATAAACCCGACTTGGTCTGCGTGAATGAGCCGCGTGAGATGCGGGTTCAGTCTCGTCGCTAGTATTTTGGCAAAGATTTTACTATCATGGTTTATTAGTGATATGGGTCTATATGCTTCTGGTAGGGAGTGGTCCTTGTCTGGTTTGGGTAAGAGTATGATATGTGCTTGTGTCATGTCCTTGGTAGGAGGGGTTCCCTCGAGTAGTTCGCGGAATAAAGTCTCCATGTGTGGGAGCAGTATCTCGCGAAAGGTTTTGTAGTAGCTCCCCTCGTAGCCGTCAGGGCCCGGGGCTTTGTTGCTCTTCAAGGAGGATATAGCCATATTGATTTCGTCAGTTGTGATTGGGGCAGATAATTCTTCTATGGCTGCGGTGTGGAGTTTGGGTAGGTTGAGGCGCGCTAAGAATTCCGACGTCCTCTGGCAATTTGTCTGAGTGCGTGCCTGACCCTGGGGGGTGTGTTTGTATAGGGCTTCGTAATAGGAGGTAAAAATCTGCGCTATCTCTGTCGGTGTGGTTTTCATGGTGCCGTCGGGGGCTCGTATGGATGTAATGTGTGGGCGTTGCGTTCTAGGGCGGAGTGTCCGAGCGAGTAGTGTGTCCATTTTATTCGATTTGTCGTAGTATGTCCGTTTAGTCCATGTTAGTGCTCGCGCTGTGTCGTTTATTAGTAGCTGCCTGATAGCTAGGCGCGTGTCTAGTAGGTGTTGTAACGCTTGCGGATTCGGGTCTGTTTTGTGGCTCTGTTCCGCTTTACGAAGGGAGTCTAGAAGTTGGGTCAGTTTTTGGGTTTTCAATTTCTTCTTATGTGTCGCTATTTTGATAAGGTGTCCCCGAATGACGGCTTTGTGCGCTGCCCAAATTACAGTCATCGGGATATCTGGCGTTATATTTTCTGTGAAATATGTCTGTAGTTGTGTTTGTAGTTCAGTTACAACTAGTAACCCCTCCCCATCTCTCCCCCCCTCTTTTTTTTTCCCCTCTTCCCTATCTCTCTATTCTCCTCGTGTCTCCATTCTAGGTTCTTATCTTCCCTCTTCTCCTTTTCTTTTCTCCCTCTTTCTCCCTCCCCATCCCCTCTTTCTCCTCTCCTCCTCCCTCCCTATCTCTCTTCTCCTCCCTCATCTCTCCTCCCTCCCATCTTTTTCCTCTCTCTCCCCTATCTTCTCTTGTTTTCCCTCTCCCCATTCTTCCCCATCTTTTTCTCTCCTCTCTTTTCTCCCTCTCTTCCTATCTTCTCTGCTTTCCTCTATCTCTCTCTCCCTCCCCTATCTTCCTCCTTTCTCCTATTTTTCTCCCCTCTTCTCCTCTCCTCATCTTTTTCTCCTTCTCCTCATCTTCTTCTCTGTCTCTTCCCTCTATCTCTCCTCTCCTATTCTCTTTTCTCCTCCTCTATCTTCCTCTTTCCTCCTTTATCTTCTCTAAGCTGCCTCTTCCTATCTCTATTTGTTGCCTGGGCACATTTGCTGGTTCCCACATCCTGTGCTGGGAATTGTGGGAACCGCAGGGAGCATGACAGACACATGCTCCTCCTCCTCCTCCTTCTTCTTCAGCGTTAGTAGGAGGAATGCCGCCGGACCGGCGAGGCTGCTACCCGGTCCAGCGGCTGCAGCATCAAACGGCCGCCCCCCCCTCACAGTGTGCCACCGGACCGGCCACCCGGTGGCACCTGCAGTCCCCAAATGCCGCCCCCAATCCAGCCCTGCCGCCGGGCCCCCTGATGGCGGCGGGCCCCCCTCCCGGCCGGGCCCTCAGACCGTGTCCGAAGTGCCCGACCGGTCAGTCCGCCCCTGCTCTCTGTAGCTCTCAAACTGCTATCCTGAGATTTTGCATTTCCACTAATCACCCACAATGGGGTACAATGCTCCAACAGTCATATTGGAAACCAAAGCTGCATTCTAATCCTAATTGTAATTAATATAGTCATTATATGTATCTTCTTTGTATGCGGATTGACACGAAGCTAAGATGGAGATGCCCAGTTGCAGGATACAGAGGTGTAGACTTCTATATTTAAATTTTCACACCTCACAAATATATATTTGTTAAATACAAAAGTAGTTTTTTTTTTGCCTCTTTCTGTGAAACTTTTTTGGGCCTCATTTCTAACAATGGGGTGGACCCTCATCCAAATGTCAGTGGGCACACTTTGTAAATACAGGGATAGATGAAGAAGATATTACAAATCTGGGGTAGTGACCGGTCCTCTTTAAGCATGTGTAGAAAAAAGTGGGCAGACTAAATTAGCCGATTGATATTACCCTCTAATTATAATATATGTTTGTACGTTTACTACCTCTCTCTAAGCTATCGATGTTCTGTGTGTAGAGGCGCAGGAGTATCCGCTTATCATTCAGGAGACGCAGGAAGTGATGCGCTGTGTTAGGTAGGTGGCGGCCTGGAAGAAGATCTTTAGAAAGATCTAAGAAAGCATGCGGCTCCCGTAAGAAGTATCCCAAGTCAAAAATAGCTTCAGGGTACGGAAGGGAGTATTGCTGTAGCTTACTGTACAAACCGCTAGTGGGAGACCTGCAAGAAAAAAAAGGAGACAAAATAAAAGGATGAAAAATGTATTTAAAAAAATAAAGAGCTAGATTATTTGAGCAGGACTCTCTCCATCTCTTGTGTCCGTCAACTACTTGCTGAACCAACCTTTGAAATGAGTTGGACTCCATATAAACTTCTAGAGCTAGTAGAAATGAGCATGTCACTAATCTATAACATAGTGGGGATATACAAACAATAGAAGAGTGTATAACGCTGTACTATGGCTGCACACAAGATGGAGATGGCCCATTTTCCAGCACGAGAGTATACACAATGTCACCTGAAGTCTGGGATGCCACTGTCCGTACTGATACCAGCTCCCACCATAACCAGGATACGCCGGTAAGTGCCTTCCTTGATTCCAAAGGCTACATCCTCCAGTGTTAGGAATGTGTTATTGTCATTTCCTCCTCTGCCAGGAAATCCCGAGCTCCAGCATTTCACCAGACTACAATATAAATCAAACAACACAAGTGAGGCCTTGTAATGATTCATCGAAATATGCAATAAAGGGATTATAGATTCCATTATGTTAAAGGGACACTCCAAACACTGAGGCACTCAGGAGCTGGGTTGCTGTAATAAGGAGTTACAGGGTCAGTGATAGAGCAATAAGGCACTGAGGAGCTGGGTTACTGTAATAAGGAGTTACAGGGTCAGTGACAGAGCAATAAGGCATTCAGGAGCTGGGTTACTGTAATAAGGTGTTACAGGGTCAGTGATAGAGCAATAAGGCCCTCAGGAGCCGGGTTACAGTAATAAGGTGTTACAGGGTCAGTGACAGAGCAATAAGGCACTCAGGAGCTGGGTTACTGTAATAAGGAGTTACAGGGTCAGTGACAGAGCAATAAGGCACTCAGGAGCTGGGTTACTGTAATAAGGAGTTACAGGGTCAGTGACAGAGCAATAAGGCACTCAGGAGCTGGGTTACTGTAATAAGGTGTTACAGGGTCAGTGACAGAGCAATAAGGCACTCAGCCAGGTTTCTGTAATAAGGTCAGTGATAGAGCAATAAGGTACTCAAGAGCTGGACACCCAGAGGGGCTTGGGGGACACAAAGAGACACATCGGGGCTGGGGACTAAAATCTACTGGGGGTTTAGTCGACTAAAACAATTCAGATAACTAAAATAAGACTAAAGCAGACTTGAAATTTGCAGCCAAAATTAACACTGTTGAGCATTCATGGGATGCTGTACATTAAGAAGCTGCAGAATATAATATGTACCTTTTGTGCAAAAATCTGCATATGTTTGGACGCAGGGTTGCAAATGCTACTTTTTCATAGGGATCAGTCAGACCAACTGCATGCACCCCTCTCACTGTAAGAGAAAGAGGGAATTTATAAGCACACGCAGAAAGCAGAATCTGGAGTTCTGGAAAACAAATGTGTAATAGAACGTTTCTAGCAATGAGAGGGTTAATATTGCTTCTCTAACCTCCAATTATGCCAATATTGGTAATGGTGTCAGGCCTCAGACTTCTCCATTGTTAGTAAGAAAAGGGTGAAGGCAATTAATAATTCTATTAAATAGAAATGAATACATTATAAAATTAAGTAACTATGTAGATAAAAAGTGTACTTTCAGCATTGAAACAAGCTTGGATGCCATTCCCGAAATGTTACTTCCGAGAAATCATTACGGCTATTTTATCCACTATGGACCAGAGAGGTGGGAGAAAATAACCCACAAATCAGAATTATCCAGAAAACCTGGACTTGGATATTAACCAGCAAACGGACAGCGTCTGCCAGAATAATGAAATATGAAAGCATCTCAACCTCGGCTATGTACAAATCCCTGATTATCTCAGAAAATTTACTACTAGGATTTCCTGGAACTTCAGTGAATCCATTTACCTTCCACACGCTGCAGATTTTCATTGCCAGTGGATGCAACGCAGCCCCAGAGCATCACCAAGCCACCATGCTGAAAAGTGTTCTTTTCAGCATAAGCTTCATCTTATTCCTCCAGATATACCGCTAATCCACTGGACTGAAAACTTCTAGTTTTGTTTCATCTCTCCACAGAACAGAATCCCAAAACATCTATGGCTTGTTTAAATGAGTATTTGAGCATATTGGAGCTCACTTCCTTGTGGTTTTGGGTCAGTAGTGGTATATGTCTTGGAGTTCTAGCATGGAAACCTTCTGATTTAGTACGTGACTTATTGTGCTCTCGGAAACTTTAGTGCCTATTGCCACCAAATCTTGCTGCAGGTCTTTTGCAGCCATTCGAGGGTTTTACATAACCTACCTTGAAATCCTTTTTCTTTTTACTGTTCCTTCAAATTTGAACTTGCAAACTGTGCATCCAAAACAAACACCCCTGCATTTAAACGCAAAAATTTGTAACTGCCATATTTAAACCAAAGGGGGAGAGTATAAGTACTCTTTAGGGATTTTTGCAGGCTGCAATAGGCTCTTTATAAATACCCTTAAGCAGTGTGCTTGATGAATTTTATTTATTTTGTCACAACTACTATTAATTGTTCTGATGGTATTGTTAAAACTTTTTCATAATTATGTTTATCAAAGGTACCATTGGGGACTGGAAAAATCTGATGACAGTGGCACAGAGTGAGATGTTTGATCGGGTGCTTCAAGAAAGAATGAAAGATCTGCCCATCAAGTTTATTTGGGATATTGATGAAGAAAACTGAATTCTGATGCTAATAATCATCTAGGTGTCCACTAGTGGCTACCAACAAACCATTAATAAATTAATCACGTTAATTCACTACCCACCATAGCTAGAAAAAGGTAAAATAAATGTAACTTCCAAACTCCATAATAAATATATTTGAACTTTATGATGATGTTTTCTCCAGATTATTTTTCACACAGCACAGGAAAAAAAGCAAAGTTTCATATTTTTATGCTAAAATGTTATTTCAGAGTTTAATTCAGATTATTGGTTGTACAGTTATACAAGTTAAAATCTAAACATACAATCTATAAAAACATCAGACATAAAATACTTAAATAAAAAATTAAATGAAAAAATATGTGTATCTAAAATGGTCAGTATAAAAAAAGCTGCTGTTCATAGTTCATACAATAGTTTCATTGTAGAACCTAATTGAAGCAAAACTGTATATTTTATTAAACGTCCATTCCAAATATAAAAGTGTACACCAGTATCACTAGAAATGCTAATGCAGCTTTATTAAAGGAACACGATAGTGTTAAATCGATGTTTAGGTTTCCCGCCCCCTCATCCCCTGTTAAAAAGGTGGTTTATTAAGCCCACCCCTCTGCCTCCTAGGCTGAGATCATCAAATATGGGAAAGCATTGAGAGGCCATTGTGCACGTGCGGCAAAACACTGCGCTGCGTCACTCAGCATCTCTTCATATAGGTGCATAAATGCATCTGTATGGGGAGCATATAGTGTGTCCATACAGAACACCTCTGAGTGACTGCGCTCTAAGTGACAGCCACTAGAGGTGTTTCTAGACAGTAATGTAAACATTGCTGTTTCTATGAAAAGGTGGTGTTTACATTTAACACCTCCTTTTCAGAGAAACGGCTGTGGACATCAGAACAACTAAATTAAACTGTAGTTTTCTGGTGACTATGGTGTTCCTTTAATACAATACAATACAGTACAACCAGGGGCGTACCTAAAGCATTTGGCACCCGGGGCGGATCCTGTGCTTGGCACCCCCCCCCAAAAAAAAAAAAAAATGTTAAAGGTTTTCTTTAATTAATCCACACTCCTTAATTAAACCATACCCCTTAATTAATCCATACCCCTTAATTAATCCACACCAATTCATCCACACACCCTTAATTAATCCACCCCCTTAATTGATACACACACCCTTAATTAATCCACACTAATTAATCCACCCCCTTAATTAATCCTCTCCCCCATAATTAATCCATCCCCCATAATTAATCCACACTAATTAATCCACCCCCCATAATTAATCCATCCCCCCTTAATTAATACACCCCACTTAATTAATACACCCCCATAATTAATCCACCCCCATAATTAATACAGCCCCCATAATTAATACACCCCCCATAATTAATCCACTCCGCCTTAATTAATCCACCCCCCATAATTAATCCACCCCTATAATTAATACACTCCTATAATTAATACACTCCCCATAATTAATACATCCCCA